ATAAACCTTGTTATTCTGAAATGGAAGTTGGAAAACTATGTGCTGTTTTTAGTTTCATAATGAAATTTCATAATACCACAGGAACATTCTAGCCCTGATATATTCAGCAACATTGTGTTAAAGAAATAATCCCCATTTCCTCCCTCAAATTTCAAAGGATCCTGGGACACAAATGTCACCTTCCTATAGCAGAGTATAATTGATTCTATTTGTGGCTGCTTAGAAAGAGGTGGAGGAATATGGCAATAATCCAGAGATGACTTGAAATCAAACGGAAGTTCACATGAGGCTATGAATACCGACATGAAAGAGCAAAGCCCAAAGGCTGCTATTTTTGAAGGCCAGATCTTGCGTGGACATTGCATACTTAGAGTCCTCCTATTCACAAGTAATCTTAGTGCCGACACATAAGGACATGCTAATCTATTTGATGAATGTCCCAAGAACTTGCGACTGGCCATATAAAGTCAGTGACTGCGAGCAAGTAGCTTAACAGATCTGGCATGCCCAATCGAGAGGACTTTGAGATACTGAGTCAATAACAGGAAGTCATAAGACGCATTGAACGTGTTCTGCATAAAACACTGTTGATGTCAGTAAAGGATACATTATGCAATTAAAAATTCATCCTATATAAATCATTAGAAAGGCTCTATAGAAAGAAAATCAATGTTACAGGTGGAAAAGTCCTCAGAACAAACCAGTAGATTTCTGTGGCTAAACACTTCCCTATAAAATATTTGGCACAACTTTTGTAGGTAGATTTTGTCCAATCTACCTTTAAATATATCAGACAGCTTATCTTCCTTCATTTACCAAAGGGAACAATTCACCTGCTTAGAAAAATCTCATGACTGGCAGTATTGTCTTAATAACCAGCCTAATTTTTTCCCTTTCCAGAATATCATTTCATTATTCTCTTTTTCTAATTTTATCTGACATACCCTTTTTATAAATTAATACCACTTAATTTAATACACAGTTATTACCTACCTTTTGCCGGTTTTGCCCCCCTTAAAGTCATATACCATTGCTCTTTCACTTCATTACTTCTTGTAAATGCATATCTCAGCTCCCTCTGTCTTTTTACCTTTTTTCTTTTCAATTCCCTCTTGCTGGTGACTGTCTGGAGCTTCTGTGCCAACAGCTACCGACAATATACCTAGTAAAATTTCCACAGAACCATAAAGAGAGGAAATAATAGCTCCTTCTCAAGACATGATACTTCCATAAATGCTTTCTGCATCATTATAGCACATTGCAAAATCATGTCATATTTTTGTAATATTGCTTTAGGTGATTTGAAGTTACAGATTTCTTGGATTTCCATTGAAATATTCCCTTTACTGTATTCAGTCAATGTTTCAACATCCTCTTATCTTTAGTGTTATTACCTGCTGTGGCATAGTATTGGTCGCCTCTTCTGTATCTTTAGTGAAGATAGTGCTGATTCCCATCCCTAATAGCTCTTCTACTCTGAAGACAAAGTTATGCTCTACTTGGAACCTTCAGATGATTTTTCTCCACGCAATAATAGGAAAATCCAAGATAATTATTTTTATATTTATTTTAACAGACTTTTCTGTGATACTAATCTGGATATTTTATTAAGGTTCATATCTTGTATGTCAATTTGGTAGATGAAGTCTCTGATCTTCAAAGACAAGGGAGAGAGGGAGAAGGGAGATAAGGGAGTTAAGCCTAGAGCAAACATCAACTTTCAAGGATATTTCAATGATGTTTGTCCCTGTTATGGGCACAAGTGGTGGGTGTTGAAGCCCTGTCCAGCTACTTAAGACAGAGTCACTCTGCCAATTAAAAATAATTAGCCTCTGCAACACAAAACCAGTGGAAGCAGTGGAAGATTTCTGAAAGGAGTTTCTGATGGATCCCATTGAATCTGCCCCAGTACCTCTCCTTTCCTTATTCCAAGAAAGGGAAAGGACAAACTTGGTGTCCTTTTTTTGCCAATTTTTGGTGTCTTGGCACCAAAATATCCTTTGCAGACAAGCGATCCATCAAAAAGTCTTTGTGTCTTTATGACATTTCACTCAACTAGCCTTGAAAACCGCTCTATCCTTTCCTTCTCTGAGTATTTATTGAATTTATTTAATCACAAGCGAGAGCAGGGAATTTTCTGATGTGATTCCCATGATTGGAACTAGCCTTGAAAACCGCTCTATCTTCTCTGAGTATTTATTGAATTTACTTAATCACAAGCGAGAGCAGCGAATTTTCTGATGTGATTCCCATGATTGCCCTCCTTTTCCTCTTCTCAAATCTCAGTACTGTGTTTGCTTACTGCTGCCCTCCTGATCCTTTTCAAGCTTTCATGAGCATTCAGTATTGATTGGTAATGCTGTGTTAAGTTAGTGTGTCAGATCCCTTTACACACTGTCTAGATCTGCTGATCTGCATGTTTCAGGTAATCTAGATAGCTCTTTGCTTACAGTTTTATCAATTTTAACAGGCTTTCTATCCCATTTTACTTGTTAGGGATATTTTTTTAAGAGTTTATGTTTTTAGTTAATTGAAATTTGATGAGCTACATCTCCCTCATCAATTGTTAATATGTCTCTAGGTCTTTTCCTTCCATTACCGAGTCCATGAAAACCTTTTTAGTCCCTTTAACCCTTCTGGCAAAGAATAACCTTTGCTTCTTTTCCTACCAGCTTTCCTAACCTTTCCCCTCTCTCTTATATGTGTGGTTCCTTCTTTTTCTAGTCCCAGACCCTCAGTCTAGTGTTTTCTAAACCAATGTTTTCTGTCTCTTCTTCCTTGAAGGCTTTTCAAAACAAATCCTCTCCTTTTAGTCTTGCATGTTCCCTATCTCCCTTTGACGCTGATGGATTCTAATATTTTCTGAAAGCTCCTCCTGATAAGTAACTGTAGCATTCTTGATTCTTTAAGATGTTTTCCTTGTAGTCTAATATAATTGCACTATATTGTGTTCTGTGGATTTCCTAATCTGTCTCTGCTAAATACAGCGATCTTATTGATAATGCTATCAATCTGACATTGTTCTAAGCTTTCTTTGATTTCTTTCTATTGCTACAAATTATGTACAATAAGACTCCTTTTCTCTTTGGGAAACCCTCTTTTCTGCATTCTATAACTGTATATGATTTAGGACAATTTCAATATGTTTTGACATCTTCATAAAAGAAAAGATGAGGACTAACAGAAATGCATTCCCTAATGAACAGTATCAGAAGGTTCTGACTGTGCTCAAACTTGGTATGGCATTTTTTTCCAGTCTTGTATGCAGTTTATATTTTGCAGAAAATGGGTCATTCTCTCTATGACAGCTGCATTCTGAATATGGATTTTTAGAAGCTTTATCCATATGTTTGACCTGTGCTTTTTGTTCTAACTTTCTTTTTGAATGTTCTCTTTTCAATTCTTTGTCGTCCCTTTGAGTAGAGCATTAAAAACCCTCACCAAGACCATGACCTTCAGGATGCTGCAGTTAATTGCAGACAAGTAGCTTCCATTCCCATGTGCAAGCACTACTGGAATGTTCAGTCTTGCCCATTTTAGCCCCTGGTTCAGCATTTCTTTGAATTTAGCTATAAATTTTGCATTGACTGTGTACACTGGAAAACCAAGGGCCCATTTTCACATTAATAATACATATATAAAGCTGTACCTATTCTCTAACTCCATCACTATCATCCTCATGGAAATAATAATTTATGTGTAAGTGCAATCTTCCATATAACTATCTCTCATTGTTTAAAAGCACAGGTAAGTATTATTGTCCTCATTTCTTAGATGAAGACAATAGTATTACAAGATAAGGCACAAAAGATTTAGTAGGTATTCAGAAAACACAGGATAAGACAGATAACAAACAATTCACATCTCCTGACTCCTGCTTATGGCTGTTTCACATTGCCATCATCCCTAAAAGATCCCATCCTTGTTGCCATCCGCTGGCAGCAGATACTGCTCCAACACAGTCAAAAAGCAAACTCTGAGCAGGGATAGGTAAATATTAAGTCTTTTGCTTTAACGGCCAATGTATTCACCAAAAATGAAGGAAAGTATCATTTTGCATTAACACAAAATTGAACATTTTATTTTGTCATATGAAATAAAAATGGAAAATAATCATGTTTTCTTCTAAAGAGAATGTTTTGAAACTGTTAAAAAATGAGCTGAAATGAAATTTCTGTTTATTATTTGGAAAGGGTATTTAAATATTTTTAATACTTTAAATATTAATAATTTAAATATTTTGAACAATATGTGAAATTAAAAAAAAACTTTCAGATTTTGGTCAACCCAATTTCTTGCATAGTTTTGGTCAGACTCAAAAGTAGTTTCTGAAATAAGCCATATTCTACAAATGTTTACACAGATCTACTTGAAACTTCTTGGTTTAAGTAGATATTACAACCTCTTCTTCAGGAAGTGGCAATACTACTGTGAGAAGGAGCCCTCTCACAAATGCATTTGGTGACACACCATCATTTTGGTGACAGAGGGACTTCTGATCATCTTGGAGGAGAAGCTGCAAGTCCCTCCAAGGAGAGGGACTAAATCCACTGAGTGAATTTAGATCCAGCTCTATATGGGTTAGGAGTCTCTGGAAAACAACCCCAGACACTGGAATTGAGTGCAGATCCTGATTCATTCTCCAGTATTTCAGGAGCTAGATCAGACTACTGGTGGTTTGGTCATTCTAAACTTCCACCTAGCATTAATACTCAGTGCTTGTTCACTGTTTTTTTATGGTTTATTTCTATTTTACTTTAAAGTAACTCTACATTTTAACTTTTATATTGGTTATTCATGGGTCAACTGTTCGCTCAGCGCAGAATAGGAAGACCTGACGCTTGAGGAGAGGGCACGCTAAGAAGTGCATGGAGATTTCTCCGTCGCGATCACTTTAGCTGGGATATTGGTTAGGAAAAACAAAAAAAAAAAAAACAGCTACTTCCTTCAGGGCAATTGATCAATTTGTTTTCCTCGTCTTTGCTCATGTTGACAACAAGCTTGATGAAATCAGTCTTTCTGAAGGCAGCACAGTGGATTTGACAAATCCTGCAGAACTGCTGGAGCAGATCCCTGAGTTTGCCGAGGAGCTGATGGAGCCTGAAGATTGCTTCCCTGAAGGTAAGGCCCTGCCTACTTCACTGCTATGCCAAAGGGAGAAACCTTGTTCTCTTGTCCAACATGTATCCACCTTCACACTAAGGTCTCTAGTACTGCAATAGTATTTCGCTGAATGCACTTAATTTCTTATATACTGGAATGTCCCAACCACAAACTCAAAATTGCTTATTAACATTACTCCTTGAACTTCCAAAGTGTGATAAGCACACTCTAAATTGCTGTGTGGCTTCTAACTTGTTAGACTATTTTTTTCATTTCAAAAAAAAAAAAAAAGGATTTTTCTAATGCAGCCCATGAAGGCTTTCGCCTCTCAAAATGCGTGCATGATCCTATCTGATAGAGAATTAAGTCAAGTTGTTTCTGTTGCTTAAATGTAGCCACTTAATAGAAACTGTCTTCAGAGTCTGTAAGATCCATGAAATCTGTTTGTTCTAAAAGGCGTTAAGATTATCATGCTCAATAACTTCAATATGATCATGAAAGTGCTAAATTTTACTTAATAATGTTAGGTAACAACAATTCACATTTACATAACCACTTTCAATACCAAATCACTTTTTAAATTTTATTAACACAATCCTACCCCAAGACACAGTGTTAAAAACCAACTGCATCAAAAGACCTATTCTCTAGCTAAATCTACAAGGTAAATATAATCCCAAGTTATTTCTTCCCAAAGGTCTATTCCAAGTGATAACTCAATCAGATTTTTCATTTTCCTTTGAATCTGGGTGAGGCAAAATAGGAGTAGTTGAATGTTAGTATATTCCTTTGAAAATTCAAGGATTATTATATGCAACAACAGAGCTGCTCAGATGGGATCAGACAGAAATGATTTACTAGGTATATGAGTGCCCCTAAAGTCAGCAAAAATGTGCATCTCTATATGTGTGAGGAAGATGATTGAATTGGGTAAGGGAGCCCTGCGGGGCTTACAAATGTCCCTAGGATCTAAACATTATTTTGGCAGCTCTGTTTAAAAGCAGTAGCCAAAAATTAATACAGTTGACTGAAGAAAGCATGGTGCTCTGCTATAACTATTCTGGTATATAAAATAGTATTTCAAAATTAGATGTGAAGTTTTCGTTCTTTCACAATATATTTCTTAATGAGGATAGTGAGCAGCGATCTATGTCATGCACCACAAAGCAAGAAATTAAATTATGATTCCACATAGAAGCCTGCATTAAAATCATGTTACTAGTAAAATTTCTCAGCAAAATGCTGTCAGCTTACAAGTGCTGAAGCTGTGGTTGGCCATGGTCACCCTCTGGTTTCTGAAACAAGGTAGGGATCACTCACCTACTGCTTCATTCAGTGCACAATTCCAGAGCAATCACACTGTGTAATGTCCTCTTTCTTCAAACAACCCGAAGAACTCTCTAAAACCCCGTCATGCAGAATGGCATCAATTCCAAGCCAGTCTAGCAGGTCTCCTCCACTGGCATTAATGGGACATGCAGTAGCAGTTGCAAGCTTTTCACTTCTAGGAGGACCAGGCATTGGAAACAGGAAGCTGATTTGGAAGCCCTTTGTCATTGGGATTGCAGAGAAATGTAGAAATTACAACCAGGTGGGCTGAGTCCCAGGTTTGCCAGTGGATTGCATTTTATTCATTATCTCTTCTAGTTCCTTATCAGTCCTGTTCAGGTCCCCATCAAAATTAAAGTCATTGTGCTAAAAACTAATGTTTCGAAACAGTTTTTATGTCAAAAGCATTCATGTTTGTTTTAAGTATTCACATATAGGGAAACAAAGTATTTTATAATTGTCTTCTGTTAATGCTTCTGTTTAATGCATTTCCCTAAACTTACCTTTGTTATGAAGCCTCACAGAGCTATCATAAAAAAAATCTATTTAGTCAGCTAACATATGGCAGAATTATAAAGTATTAAAATGAAATTACTGAAGGGCAAGCACTGAGCAATTTTCTCTATTGTGGCCTTTACTGTCTAGTAATAAGGAGCTATAAGAATATTTGGTATATTCAGGAAAGTGACCACCTTGTGAAAGACAGAGATTAGGAAAAAAGATGGTCGTTACCTTATTATCAAACCAGCTGTCTAAATTCAAACTATGACATTTCTAAGCACATTCAGCATGGGTTGTGTCCTGAGCAAATATGTTCAGGATTCAGTCCCCTTTTTCAGATAACAAAGGCAATGCAGATAATGCATGTTCTTGAAATAGTTGCTGAAAGTCTGCTGAGGTCACAGTTTTCCCGTAGGTGAGTGACCCAGATTAGCCTCAGGTCATTTTTCTTGGGGAGACTTGTTAATTTACCATTTATTGTTATCATCTCAAAATAGCTTTGATTAAGGTCAGCTGACAATATTCTGGGGTCTTGGATGAGGCCAAGGTAGAGTCACAACTCTGGCAGCTGTGAAAAAAAAAATTATAGAACTAGAGATATCATTCTTGTTGCCAGTTGGTGGGAAAGCAACACCTAAGTGCCAGCTATTGGGTATTTTTTCTTCCAGATGCCTTGCAACACTCCAGTGTTGTTATCTCCATTGATATGTGCTCTCTCCACATCACAAATTGCTATCTATTCAGACATTATCTTCTGTGTCCTCCAGAAGGTCATTCAAAGGGAGCCCCTGGCCCCAGCGCTCTCCTCTCTCCCAGACCCTAATAGGAGAAAATTTTCACCGAGTCCTCAAGTGTAATTCCCCAGATACAGGCTGCTGGCAAATGGTTCATCAGATGTTTGTGCTGGAATGAACTACCTTGCTCAACACACAGTTGGTTGCAGCTCGTGACACCAAGGACGTCCACAGCCTTAGTTTCATGTGACCGTATAGGAGAGAGTATTGCAGTCAGAAAACTTTATGCACTAAAGTGAAGTTATTCTGGCTACTGGTGGAAAGCTTTGTTACATTCACTCCAGTAGCTATTAATGGTTGTTTAGAAATAAAAAAGTGAAGAGGAGCTTAAATTGAACAAGTCTAAACCGATCTGTAGCCGCTGTCACCAGGTGATGCTTAGAAGCTGAGTAAAACCAAGACCAACTGAAGGTGTGAAGTGTTATCCTAGAAAAAAAATGAGACCAAAACCACACTTCGAAGTTTTTTCTTCCTCTAGTCATCATACCTCAGAAAAAATGCTCTTTTCCATCAGGTAGAGCATGCTACTATTTTATGATACAGTTTTCAAGCCTCAGAAAATATCTCCAGGCCTATTGACTGTATAGAATGAGAATAATTCAGGTTGGACAAGACCTCCAGATTTCAGCTTGTCCAAGGTGGGTAGATATGGAAAGTTTGCAGAAATTGTGTTCCCTCTACTGCTGCCAGTAGCTTGGGAAGTCTTTTGGGAACTCTAGACGAGGATAGTATAATGAGACTCACTTTCTTGCTCGAGTACGTACCATTAGCCAGACTGATCTTTAGAAACCCAGTTTGGCAGATGTATATTAGAGCAATGTTACAAACATCTGCCAGCTTGAATTTGCAGTGAGGAAGGCATGTTTTCTTTATATCATACCAAGGATTTCTTCAACCACCATTCAAAGCCAAACAAAATATGTTTTGTGCTAGAAATGAGTGTCCCCATAACGGACTAATTCTGTATAATAGTATCTACAAAAGTATTGTGGTCTGGACACAATGTAGAAGACATGCTGGATGATAGTATAGAAATTATTTGGTCTTTTTGGCCTACTGAAGAGAATCAGCACCCTAATCTGTCCAGAACAAATCTAAATTTTATGTCATTTTAAATATATATTAGAGGTGTGAACAAGCTGGGGATTGTAAAGGATCTACTCAGAAGCATTAAAGCAACAGGTTTGGGTGCCATGCATGCAGAAGGAAGTTAACTACCATTTACAACAGAGATTTGTTCTACAATGCACCAGGGAAAGGCAATAAGGTCTAGCAACTCCATGATTATAATGCCCAAGAAAATATGAATGTAGAATGAAATAAATATTTACACAAAATGCGTTGCAAATTAAATTCCTCTAATTTTTAGGGTAGCTTGTTTGTCATTGTGGCAGACATGTAAATGGTTTGACTGAGATGTGCTCCTTTCTGCTTGCATGTGCAGTTTAGGACCCACTGCAATCTACAGTTTATGATTGGGCTGCAGGTCACTGCAGTGACAGGAGGGAAAAATTCACTCATTATGAAAAACAGTTATGTTATACTGATGCATTCATAATGGCTTCCTGATGAAAATATTTCTGTTTAGTGAGAAAATGTATGTAATATTCCAACGTGAGTTGAAAACAGACGTTCTTGGACAAGTCTACCGCTAGGGTAGCTCGTTTCAGCTTCACTGATTTGCCAGCAAAAAAATTGACCTTTTGTGTAGGATTTTTTCTGTTGTTCCATGTTTCTATTGAGCTATAACCTACTATCCAAAAGGCTTTAGTGGAAATGAGTCAGTTTATCTCTGCAAAAGATGTAGCCCAACATGGCTTAGGGTAGCAAAACTGAGCCCTGACTAAATCAAAAGGCAGGAAACTACTTCTATGCAACCAGTTCCCTAATAGCATTGATTGCAGGGGGATAGAAGAAATCTATGAGACAAGGCAGTATGAGTAATGCAGTTATAAGAAATGCCAAGGGGATTATTTGTGTCCTGACACTTGCAGTGCTAAAAGGTGTTAATGAATGGTCTTCTTCATGTGCCTAAACAGCTTTCAAGACCCGAAGCTGGGGTCTGCTGACCACTTGCCTTGTTGCAGAAGTCAGCTGGAGTTCTAATTGCTCAGACCCTTGCCCCCTAAAACACACTGGAATGTTTTTGATACCAGGTCATATTTCCTGACACTTTCATAGAAACAGGGAAAAAAAATGTTGGAACACTGACCAATGTCAGGTAAACCTTTTTTGCTGGATTATGTAAGCCTATAACTCTGTATTTAAGCTTGTGTCAAGGTCACCAGAACACTAGGGTGGAAGCAGCATGAGAAAATCAGAAAAAGCACAGGCATTAAATAACCATCAGTGGGAGAAATCAGAAAATTCAAAATAGAAGTAGACATTACTTACTCATTAGAAGACCTATTTGTGGTCAAAGTTTTATTTTTCCCCTTTTTTTTGGATTTACAAGAATATAAAAATAGCATTTCATCTGAATTCAACCAGCATGATTGTTCAGGGCAATGCTATTTGACATTAGTAATTGTACCAGAATCTGGTCTAAATATTCCTCAGTTGGACGCAGTCAAAAGCATGGAATTTAATAGTGCTGTGAATTTGGGCTGACTCATCTGAGAAGGTATTTTGGATTTTTCAAGGTATTACTCTCAGTACCAAGAGGGTTTTGTTTTGTTTTGTTTCAGAGCAAAAATGCATGCAAGCCATGAAAGAATATTAAAAAAAAAAAAAGTGTTTCAGATGGCTTTATATCTTTAGAAACACAGTTCCATACCTGTGGAATATCAGATGAAGCTGAGTGAATCAGCAATAGTCTGCTTTTGACATTTTATAAAACTTTGGAATCACAAATGAAATCTGAGATCTCATGTTCTGCTCGTTATTTTTTAATTTGAAGATGATTCCTTAACTCTAGCCATGCCTGCACTTAAGTAGTCATGTAGTCAAAAGCCAAACTCCTGCAGGGAATGAGTTGTCCAACCCAGCTTGCACTGAGGAGCAGCAGTTGCTGATCCTAACCTTTTCCAATGATGCTTGTGCTGCCAATGCTAGACTGAGCCTAGGAACTCATCTAAGAGACTGAAGAGGCAGGTATCAGTCTAAGAAGTAACTTAAAGCTAAAGGAGGGGGAAAGACAGTATGGGGAAAAAAACAAGCCTGAACAAAATGACAATTTTTTCAAAATGCAAACTATTAATAGGAGCAGGATAGGCTGGTGAAAAGTTTCTTCTGATAGAAGCAGTAGTTTGCTAGAAAGGGGAGTTTCTGCTTAAGATGAGAAATGGACATTTAAGTAATAAACAGCTTGCACATTAGGGTGTTCACAGGATGAATAAGGAGGCTGGGCCCAAGTCGTTGTTCCTCCTGAGTTGAAGCTGGGCTGACAGTTCAGTCGTCATGGACTTGCAGAGCAGCACAGAGTGGGGACCAGGCATCTGCAAGCTGGTAATGACCATGTTTGCTGTGCAGGCAGAAGCAGTCTAGCAGTTTCAGGGCAATAGCCTTAAGTGCCATGTCGTGCTGGTCTGATCATTCTGTATGGGCATTTCAGGCTAAAACGTGGTGCTCCAGGCAGAGAAATCCATGCCATGCATCTACTTCCTAACACATAACCACATCACCATTGCTGAGCACTTTTAGCATAAAGTGCTGGCTAACATGACATGCTTGTATCCTTTGACACAATTCTTCAGTGTTTAGGATTGAAGTGTATAGGGGGATAAAACTTTCCTTTATTTGAGTGGTACCTAGTACAAAGAGGTAAAGAAATAGGGGTCTTTTCTCTTAAACTAGCATCTTTTCTTGCCATTATGTTTTTCTCAAGTAGTTTGATCTAATCTAGTGTCTTCCAGATGAACTCATAATATCTCTGAGTCTAAGAGTACGATGACAATTCTGGAGCTGGTGTGAATCTGTATGATTTATATTTAGAGGACAGGTAGCTACACGCATCACCGTAGATTTACCATAACATAAATTGTTTCCTTTCCTGTTAGTCCCATCCTAAAACTTTATACGGCCAAGCATGTACATACACCTACAAACATCTCATACCTGGGAGAGGAAGAGGAGCTCTGGGAGAAGATCACGTATGGAATATATTAGCAGCACACTGTAGTTCTGCCACATCAGAGCAGGAAGACCACGGCTAGTATAAACTTACAGAAAATGTCAGCAGGACCGTAGCAGGCTTAGCAGCTCAGTTCCTCCTGGCAGAGTCTAGGACTCATAAAACCCCTCCACCTACTGCCAGCACAGCCCTACTTCCAGCTGCATGGGAATCCCAGCGTCCTGGGAGCTGCACTTGATCTCTTCACAAATCACATGCAGCTCGTTTATGCTACCTTGAATTAGCAGCGTCTGCTGTACACATAACCTTGGCATTCACCCGCTTTCGTTCCCCAGCTTCCTTGACTAAATGTTATTTCTACTTGAAGTAGCATTGCATTACATCACCATAGCAAGTGTCTCTCGCTGTCACCTCTGAGCAGTTGCTCTGTGCTTCAGACATGTTAGAAACCTTGGCCACTTTTCAGCTACTGAAGCTGTAATTTCTTATCACACGATGGGACTGATAAAACACCATAGCAAAGTCTCTTTCTTTGCAACACCTGGAGCAAAGACAAGATTTTTTTTTAAAAAAATGCTTTTTTGAAAGTAGTGCAGTTTTTGAGGATCATTTCTATGAACATGTGTTGTCATATATGGCTGAATCACCAGCCTGGACAAGGACACGTCCCAGCTACCAAGCTGTGTGCTCACCACAATTTTAAGCTCCTACCCAGCACAAACCAATGGATATGGTGCTTTTTAAATAGGAAAGATCCATCCACAGGATGGATCTATCCATAACTAATGACATCATTATTTTTCTGTAACAATAAACTGTGACTAAAAAGGCTAAAAGTTGTCACAATTTTGCCTATCTTTGCCTATGCTTGTGTAGTCCCCCTTTCCACGACAGCATTTAACTCTCATAGAATATTTGTCATTACAACACCTCACTGAGATATAAAACACTATGAAACACCAGTGTGGAACCAGCTTGTGGATGGAGAGCCTGGATATCTAAATTTCCATTTAAATCGAAAGGAATTTAGCCACCCAAGTACCTTCCTAAATTGAACCCTAATGACTTCTTTAAGCTCATGAAAGCACAAGAGGTCAAAATCTGCTCCTGTTCCTCCTGTGCGAATCCTTTCAGCACCTTGGTCCTATCTGCACTGCAGCACATCATCCCCTCTTCCCCCTTTTATCAAGTGGCCACTTTAATCACTATCTCTAGTGGTACAAAACACCAAGAAAACATCTTTCTTACTTTCATGAGGATGTTGAGGCTATTGGAAATACCCTGCTAAAATCATTAGGCTCATTTAGTTGTGCTGGCTGATCTTAGCTAATACAGTATGCTTGACCTGGGGCACTGGTGACTCATTGCCAGCATTTTCTATGTCATAAAAATCATTCAGAGAGACCACCAGGGCAGGTTTTAAGTGATTTTGAGTGTTTTTGAAAAGAGTGAAAGGGAGAAACAGAAGGCAGAACAGAAATAGAAGGAAAAACAACGGAAGTCTCTACAGAGTAGATCATAGTTGCAAAACAAGAGAATCCTTATTGCAGCTTTAAGCATCAAATAGGTTTTTTTTTTTAAACAATTGCTTTCTTTTTTTTTTTTTCTTTCAGTTTGTGTCCGATTCTTCCCCTGCTGTTCAGTGGACGTCACGAAGTTTCCAGGCAAAATTTGGTGGAGGCTGCGGAAAACCTGCTACAGAATCGTTGAGCACAACTGGTTTGAAACTTTCATCATATTCATGATCCTGCTGAGCAGCGGAGCCCTGGTAAATGCAATAGGATTTCCTAATGAGTAGAAAGTGGGCTTGGGTCTATAAGAAGCAAGTCCTTATTTGTGAGATACTTTAAAAAAAAAAAAAAAAAAGCATGTGTAGGACATATCTTCTGCTTTTTATTTTGATTTCACTCGCCTTTTCCCTATCATGAGGAATCTTCTGGAGTTTTAACATAAAATTATGATTCACAAAGGATTTGAAAAGCACACCCTTAAGGACAGCCTGTGTGAGGAAGCAGCCAAGAATTGCCACTTCAGTGTCCCATAACTATGGCAGTTCCCATCCACACACTTGCAATTTACTCTATGAATATCTCTCTCTTTTATTTTCTCCCCCGCCCTTGTTTTTTTCTTTTTTACCCTCTTTGTAAGCAGAAAAAAATTATCTTAAAATTATCTGACCACAGAATTAGTATGTGACCATTATGCTCTTAATTAATGTTAGCTTAAATCGCAGTAGCTTCCCCATATAGATAGCTCCTGCTTGCATCCACAGAGAGCACGGAGGCTGGTTGGTTATTGCCCATGACTCTGATAAGGAGAACGGTCCTCCTGAGAGCCCATTGCATACTGGAATTATCTTCTCTGTGTTATCAGAGTATTATTCTGAAATTTGCTGGCAATATGAGGTCGGGACAGGTTACAAATACATCTCTGGAGGTTGCAATTATCTTCTGCCAAATGGATGAATCTGTCTTAAACATATAGGAGGAGAACCGTCTAAGAAATACGTATGCTCCACATCGCCAGGAATCATCAAGGGCAGAAAGGCAAAATGTAGAATGTGCGGAAAGGTAGGAGATTTACTAGAAAATTGCTGGAGAGAGAACAGGGAACAAAAAGAACAAGAGTAAACTCCCTCATACCGCTGCACAAAAGCCTAACACCCCACGGGGCTGTATAAATAGGCATGTTCTTCCACTCCAGTTGGCATCAAGGAGGCCTCAGCTGGAGCACTGGCTTCAGCTCTGGGCACTGCACTTTTGGGAAGATGTGGGCTAATTGATGAAACTCCAGAGGAAAGCAACAAAAATTATCAGTGGCGTATAAAAGAGGAGCTATGAGAACACTCAAAAGTTCTTGGTTCAAGTAGTTTAAGGAAGAAACCTGTAGGGAGATGAGAAGATTGAAATACGTAAATCTTGATAGAAGAATGAAAGAAATACCAAGTCCACTAGGAATGGGCAGAAATTTAACCCAGGGGTTTTTATTTTACGATGAGAGGCAGGAGGTTGAAAACCTTCAGTAGACACTAGGCTGCTTAAAATTGCCATTGCTTTGTTGAAATCAATGTGGTGTGATGTTTTTGCACCAGTCTGAGGATCAGTGTGTTAATTTTTTAACACATTTTAAAGGGATCACGTCTATGCTATAGTACACTTTAGATGCACTTCCTTATGTATGCAATTAAAAATGCTTCAAATGCTGAATGCTGAGATATAAATCTCATTTACTTTTCATTGCACACATTCATTTACTTCTTCATAAGTTTCAGCTTGGCTAGTTAATTCTCTATATGGATAAATTCTGCTGCCTTTTCTCACATATCAGTACTGTGCCTCAGTATTTTGGTTGGAGATAGTGAGGAAAACACGTTCCTTTTTTTTGTTTGTTCATTTTAACTTGTTGACGTTTGAGGTGAGCTCTTCCAAAATGTGAGCTCATCTGGCTGCATCCCTATAACATGCTGAATTCTTAGGGGGTTTTGAACCCGGTATATGTTTGTATGTATGTTGTTTATATGTTGTCTGCTGTATATTTGTACTGTAAGTTAAACCATCAAAATATGTTTGTAGCTTTCTGGAAAAGATGTAAAGACATTTCTTTTGCATTTAAACCATCTACATACAAATTGGGAACTTATGTTTTAATAGCAATTGTGAGTAATGTTGCAGGCATGCTGCTCAGCTCTTTTGTTTAACACACAATAAGGCAGCAGATATAGCTCTTAAAGATGTTTTACATAGAAAAGATTTTATAAGTTGAAATGAAAAAAAAATGCAAACTACTGCAGTTTAGACTTTAGTGTCTTTAGTCTCTTAGAGTCCATAGTTCTTGAAGAAATGCAGTGTACCTAGAACATTCAGGTAGCATATTCTTCATGCCATATTTAAGCTGCCTCCTGCTTCATGGTTCTTTATTAATAGAACAAATACCATTGACAAGTTACCAGAACACAGCGAGAGGAAAACAAGGATGGAGATGAGGAAATCACTTTAGATGGTTTGTTGTTATTTTTGTGGTAATTGCAAAGTACCGCAAGTCATCTGACAAAGTGAGCGAGCCCCTACATGAAGTGATAAACTCCAGTCTCTCTGTGTATTGTTTTCTGTGGCTTTCTCCAACAGCTCTTTCACACCCTTGAAATATCATTTTTGAAGGCAAGATAGGAGACTTAGTTGCAGTGAAAACGTCACCCCAAAGTGTGGGGACAAATGGACAAGCTTTGGCACAGGCTGCCAAGGCTTTCTTGTCAGTTTAATTCCTGTTCCCTGGCAGGCAAGAGAACAGTGTGACTGGTTGAGTGACAAGCAAGACACTTCTTGTATCTGCAAGCACTGGGTGTTCGGTAACTTTCTGAAGTTCCTCAGAAAGTAGTTACAGATCTTGAAATATGTAAATGAAGATAATTAAGATGATTAGCACAGACCCTCTCAAACAATATTGTGCTTTCTTGCTGCCAAGTGCTCCAGGTCACACTGTGGGACAAGAATAATCTATTAAAACCTCTCTTATCCAAGTGACAAGAACATGGAAGCAGTTTTTATAATGATGGTTATTTGAGTAGCTGGGTAAACATTACCACAGCCATTGCTGGACTCAGCAACTCCAAACCGGCTCATATATGTGCAAGCTTATATGTATGTACACGAGCAAGATCTATGTTATATGTGCAAACTTATATATTTAGAGACATATATATTCAAGGAAGATACACATTATGTGTGCATTATAAAGTGAAAGCTACATTATGATACTATATGTTTTATTTTAGTGGGCATATTGTTTTAAATCTTAAATATTTTAAAGGGGTTATTAAGTTGCTCATACTCGTTACAGATACAGAATGTCTTTTGATGATGCTGTGCAGAAGATTAGTTAGAGAGACAGATGAGATGGGTAGACAGGTACCTTGACCTTTAAAACATAATTGTTCTGTTAAATGAATAATAATGAGCATTTCTTGAGGCAGATATCTGTAGCTACTGAAATGCGATGGCTGAACAGAAGCCAGGGAACTTTGGTACTCTGTAAAACGGGCTTCAGCATGCTAATAACCCAATTTGTCATCATTAGCAATAAGATGCATTTGACTAAATGTAAGGTAGGATTCGGCTGCTTAAAGACAAGCATCCAGTGCCCTTGGAAATACGCCAAGAGCCCTGGGGTGTCTGAGGTGTCCACAGAAGAGTGGCACAACCAACAAGAGTGGAGGCAGGACACACTTAGGCAGATCAAATGGCTCTAAGTGTTTATGTGTGAGACCTTCGGAGCAGCAGCCAGCTCAGGGCTTCACAAACCCAGGTGCAGGGTGTCTAAGCAAGGGACATATTCCCGATACAACCTGCAAAGGCTGGAGTTAGCTGATCATCTGTCAACTGGAGTAGGCTGAAGAGGTCTCCATCTACTGCAGTTGGAGGTTGGACTAGATGATCTCTACAGGTTCCTTCCAACCTCAACCAGTCTGTGATTCTGTGATTCAGATTCATATATGAGTATGCACTGAATTTCACTTTAAAATGCCCAACTGATGATCAGTTTTAGCTTAATATATCTGAAGTTAAGCCCATATAGCAGTGCCTTGTTTAGTAGCAGTCCTATTCAGTGCACTCTTTCTGTTAGTAACAGTAAAATACATTAAAAATCATAGGCAGTCTCAGAAAACATTACTATAGGTCTGCAACACAGCACTGCTGTTTTCCAGCACAGTTCAGCAGAACAGTTCTTAATCAATTTTTTGTACTTGAAGGCTTTTGAAGATATTTACCTGGAAGACCGAAAAAATATAAAAACCATGTTGGAATATGCTGACAAAATATTCACGTACATCTTTGTCTTGGAGATGCTTTTGAAATGGGTGGCTTATGGCTTCAAGAAGTATTTCACCAATGCCTGGTGCTGGCTTGACTTTCTCATCGTAGATGTAAGTATCATCTTGCAATATTATATTTCTCCTGTTGGATTTTTCCATGTGCAAGTGTTTGCTAATGAGTTTGCGTTTGCAAAAAGAGTAACGACTTTGGGTGAACTTTAAAGTAGATTGCCAGACTTGGTTTTAGGCTGTGCATCCCCAGGAATCAGCGTGCCAGCACGCAGAAGACAGAACTGTGTCATTACGCAGAGGTGTTAACCCTGCTAATTTGAGTCATGCTCCTTTTTCATCCGTAGAACGCACTCTTTCTTTTAGCATTTAATGCCTGGTTCCACGCTCAGGACTAGCAGAAGGTCTGGTTACCTCCAACTGCTCTGCACATGACCTCGACACACAAGTCTTTCAGTAGACTAGAGAAGTTGTCCCTGGCATGGTTTCCTGGCAAGGCTGCCAGGGATGCATAACAGTATGTCCAGTACCATCTCCCGAGTATTTACAAGTGAAGGAGTCCAGAAGAAGGTGTGAATAGTCCCCTGGCCAAAGTGATTTCACCATTACAAAACCTTACGAAATGTTCCAAATCTTTGAAATATTGCAACGCGTAGTTCTACTCAAAGGGTAAAGCCTGGAATTAAGTGAACATTGTTCAAAAGGGAGCTTATGCTCCCAAACTGTTGCTGCTACCAGACTTTTCTCCAGCAAAGGCGTGTGCGCTTTGGACACCGATCCAAAGGGAAAAATTAAAGAAGGAAAATCTTAGCACATCAAATCTGGAATTTCCCAAGGCCTGGGTGGGGATCTGTTCAGTGCATGAAAAGCCAGAAATACGACATCCCCCATGTGAGATCTGACATATCACCATGTATCAATAAGGGAGGCCATTTCTCATTTGCTTGAGCTGTAGGTGTGGAAGGCTGTCTGAGCTCTGCTATGACTGGAACTTATTAAACGTTTGAGAAATTATTTTTTCGCCATTTTATATCTGAACCTCGACTCAAGGGAGATACTGCACTTTCTTTGGCCCCAGTCCAGAAAAGCACTTCAATGGGACAATTTACTTGTTTGAAGTTATGGACATATCTAAGTGCACTGCTGGATCAGAGCCTCTGGAAGCTTCTTCAGAGCTTTAATAAATTGATTGATAAAAAGGAAGTTCTTTACATAAATTGGAGGTCATAAATTCCTCTTCATATACATGCTTGAAAACCTCTTAAAGGGAAGGCATGCATTTTTCACAGATTAGCTTCAATAGGAGAGGAAGGCCTGGTTTAATTATCTAACCACAAAAGTGGAAACCACAAGTTCCTAAATTATAGTCTAGCTCAGAAAACTGTGCTTGCTGTGGTTTAGGTCGAGTGACATGGCTTTTCTTCCTTGATTTCTCCATCTGGAAAACGGGACTAATAAGAATCACCTACAATATTATATGGGCTTCTGGGATTTTGCTATTGTAGTTAAGGTCCATAATGAGCTTCTGAAGACCAGGAGTGCTGGATGAGGGCTGAGCATTGTCACAACTATGAATAGGAGGGTCTTCCTAGCTCACTGTACCTAGATTGGTACAGTGTATTCACTGAAACAGTTTCAAGCTCTGCTCCACTCCAATATTAACAATTTCAAATGGCTTCACAGTTGTTATAAATACATATATTATGTTATGACATTTAATTAATACCAGAGGGAGTGAAACAGAAATCGAGCCCTCCCTGCAAAAAGGTCCCTTGGAAGAGGAGCTGCTTAAGAACGCCAAGTCAATATGCAACCCAGGACGTTAGGTAAAGATTTCCCTTTAATAACAGGGTTTATGAGAGTAATGTCAGATTGTAGCATCAGCCACAGACAGACTGGGCAAAGAGAAAACACATTCCCTGCTGCAGATCCAGAGCCCATGTGGCCTAAGACAGAGCTATTTGGGAAAAAGGTCCCTGAGGTGCTCCATCTCCCCAGTAAATCCCTCCAATATAGCTTTCTTACTGACCCAAACCTTCTGTTTTCTTAGCAGATATTCAAATGTTGTTTTTGCAAGTTCCATAAGCTAGCCAAAAATTGCCTCACCCTTGAGTTGTTTTAGTTAATTAATTGACTTTAGGAAATATCTCATACTTTGCTGTTCCCAGTTAATAAAGCTTTTCCTCTTGCCCCTTTATGTTCTTCAAAGTCATTGGCCGATGCAGATTATGAGAAACCCATACTATATTTTTAGCGAATTTAACAGATGCTCTTCTCCTACCCTATTGCTCACACACACTCTGCCACTCTGAATTGGCAGAGCAACATGCTGTTATTTCCACAGCACACTTTTTACTTGAATTTACATTTTCTTTTCCGTTCTTTGAGAACCAAATCGCTGCAACTGAAATGCAGAAGGGAGTGAATGGATGAATTAGATGCTCCAAAAGAACCAGATGAACCACTTGTCTGAGTTTCTCAAATTTATTTGTTTAAAATTATTCACTTAAAAATTCCTGATCTGCAAATTATTCATTAGCAGTTTGGTATCGGTATTCAAAATTCAAGCTGCAATGGCTGATTTTTCATTGGACATGTGAAACCATCTATCATCTGTTTTTTCATTGTATAAATGCAACTCAGAGTCCTTTTTCTGCTGTGAATAATTCATAAAACCAGTTCAAAATCTGCAAGTATTCTTTAATTCTAAATGTGAAATGAGTACAGAGAATATATAAGCATACTGCTTCAAAATTTGAGTTTTTATTTCCTTACTTACCCTGCTCTTTGAAAGACCTTTAACTGATTTGAGCCTGTGGAACAGCAAAGACTCCATCTCATAAGTGTGGATTACAAAGAAAATTCTGACTTGTACAGCCTAGACATCAAAACACACAGTAATCCACAAACCAAAAGCTATTTTTGCTAGATGTAGAATCCCTAAAGGATGATCTCTGATAAGGGGCCTCTGTGCTTCTCAAACAAGTGTGCTAGCAGAGCAGAAGAGTAAGAGAAGGCTTTTAAACACATTGCAGCACAATAAAGTCCTATCAACAACAGTGCAGCAGATTTCTCTGGGAGGAAGAGAAGAAGGAAGCAAGGAATAATCTAACCACAAAATACAGGCTCATTTCAACTTCGGATACATGGGAAAGATGCCATGAGATGCCTACTGAAATACTGGGTACTTAGAACAAAAAGCATTAATGTATATATGTGCAACAAGTCATCTCATAGCAAACAGCAACTGCTCTGCTAGAAGTAACCCATGTCCACACTGCTGCAGAGCTTCTCTATGCCAGTGAATTGGATGATGAGGACTGTAAATCCACAGTTGTTATCAATGAGAGGAAAAAATCACAGACTGTAGTAATGAGGAAAGCACAGAGACTACTATATCTGGAGTTTACACAGATATCAATGTCACCCTAGGGATTGGTGTTTATGAGCAAGCTTCTGTGTGAGGATGCCCAGGCAAATATTTTCACAAAGAATAGATATTTGCTGAGCATTTATGCAGTCAAAAATCTCTTCATACAAAGCAGATTAAAAGAGGAGCATGGACTTGGCCTGGGATGAAGGCATATAGAATTCCAAACGAACATTTAGGAAAACTCTTCCCAATTTGTTGTGCATGGTGTGATAGACAGAGACGGATATTTAAACAAGCAGCAGATAAACTCCACCATTTGTGCAAGCTGGTGTCACATTTGATGTCCCTTTCAATTGTTTCCTCTGACCTATAAATATTATTTTGAGCTTATCTTGCTTGAGCTTGAGCCAATTAATTCTGAGCTCTCTCCCAATCTCCGCTAACAGTGGATGGATTGTTCCGTTACAGTGATCGGTTCAGAGAAGGCATCAATCCAAAGCTTGGCATCACTCAAACAAAACCTTTTGGTTTGTGGATTACTGTGTGTTTTGATGCCTAGGCTATACAAGCCAGAGTTTTCTTTAGTAGTCCACTGCATGGTGGTGTTGCCATTGACCACTTCTTTCCTACCTGATCACACCTTGTATGCAGAGGAGAAAGACCAGGCTCTTGGAGCAGCTCGCTGTTGTGACTGAGCTCTCATGAGAGGGATGGAATAGCCCTAATTCATTAGCAAAGCTCAGGAAAAAAAAATCGCAGTCAAGTTGTGTTGCCTGCAGCATATGCAGAAAAATCCTCTTAAATGGGCACTAGTGCCATCTCTCTACAAAGTCCATTATCAGAAATCCATCATCTCCATTGCAGCTGTGGGGTCTGTTTTAATTGACCAAAAGTTAGTTCAAATCCAGGCTTAAAGGAACCTGATTATCATTTACTGCTTTTGGAGATGTGGGGAGGTGAGGGTTTCTCAGCAAAGATTATCACGTCTTCCTAAGGTGCAACAATGGGCAAAAGACAGTTTCTTAAATGACTGCTGTCTTAAAGATGGTGGCATCTTCTTCTTGCCCTGCAGATCATCTTCAGCAGTGGGCCCAAACACCATGGGGTGCAGCAGCCATGAGAAGATGATCTAGTCCACAGTTTTTGCCCAAATATCCCACCAATTCACTCTAGTTGAACAACCAGTAAGAAAAATAGCCTCTTCCAGTGAGTAAAATAGCTCGTTCCATCCCTTTTTCCCTGTGAGCCTGTTCTGCTACTGTGACAACAGGTTAAGCAGTACAGCTTAGCTGCAAAAGAGTTCAAGCCAGGCTCAGCAACAGATTTTGTGGTCAGATTTCTTAGATGGGTTATTCACCAAGTCCACTAGGCAGGATCTTGTAAAGGCTCAGGTAGTTGTGAAAAAAGCTGTAGTCTATTTATTTATTTATTTATTTTTATTTTTGTGAATGGAGAAGCCAGAACATGTTTCTGTGGTTTGCCTGGAGCTGCTGAGTTTGTATTTAGAGATGTGTATCCCCCATCGAGCAACTATCTGCTTCCAAACTTCCTATTTGCTTGGATGAGAACAGCTCATGGATGTTCAGTCATTAAATGCACCGTCATTTTCACTGAATGCTTAAGAAATACAGACATGGCATTTTCCAGGATAGTTTCCTGGAAAGTGCCTGCTCTGAGATTTCTCCTTGCAACACTTCACTGACAGATGATTAAAAAAAAAAAAAAAGCT